CTCATAACATTAGTAAACACTACCCGAGGAAGATGTCGCCACTGCTCAATAAGAGCATGTTGAAGGTCCTGCAACATCAGTGGTGGATTCACTTGCTGACGAACACGTCGACCCAGTTCGTCTCAGATGTGTTCAATAGGATTAAGGTCGGGGCTAGCGATGGCCAAACCAGGACTTGGACACCGGCATTTCTTAAAAAATTCTGGGTAGCAATTGCTGCATGGGGTCGAGCATTGTCTTCTTGAAACGTTAGTCCAGGCCCATGTCTCTGCATAAACGGAAGAAGAACAGGTGGCAAAATCTGATCCCTGTACTGGATAGCATTTAAGTTCCCTTGGACAACAACAAGAGGAGACCTACCATGTGCACAAAAAGAACCCCAAACCATGACGCTGCCGCCACCAAATCACCTCGCGTGCAGTACACTCGGACCCTGCCATCGGCAAATCTCAAAGTGAATCGAGATTCGTCACTAAAGACAACCGAATTCCACTGTCTTTGAGTAAATCTTATTTTTCTTGTGGCCCACACAAGTCGGTTACGGCGATGAAGAGGTGTCAATATTGGTCCATTATAGGGCCTCCGAGCTCGAAGACCAGCAGCCTGCAAGCGATTTCGAACAGTTTGTGCAGTTACCCTTCCACCAAACATCTCTCTACTTGTGGAGGTTGCAGTGACAAATCTGTGTCTAAGATGACGTAATCGTATTGCTTGATCTTCCTGGAGTGACGTCACACGTGACGCTCCCGCCCTTGGGCGGTCGGCAATAGTTCCAGTTTGAAGCACTCTCATTCTAAGATTAATTATTGTCTGCCGTGAACAATTAAAGGCTCTTGCAACAGTGACCACAGACTGACCAGTATAGAGCCTACCTATAGCACGTAGACGTTCTACATTTGAAAAGCGCGGCATTTTCTAACAAAGATGAAAATAACAATTTTAATTTGTTTTTCCAGTTCAAGTTACGTGTGCGTGTTCAGTTTAAGGCAACTTGCATCGATTGGCCTCACGAGTTTGTGTTTGCACGTGTTTTTCAGGTTTTTCATCTTTATATGCTCAAAAGTCACGTGATCCACGTGACTTTACAATTTTATGAAATTCATCAGTGTCAAGTTTTTAATTTGGCTGAGTATATGTAATTACTTCTAATCACTTGGCTAGATCAAGTGTCGACATAAATAAGCATTGATGTAATAATGTACAATATAAGAAATAAAACAATGGTAAATAAAACAATTAATAGATTAATTAATCATACGATTGGCATGTTCACCAGGTGTATTCTCACGAAGGCGCAGTTACAGAGCGTAACCAAAATTAATCCTTCCCAAAAAGGCGCAGATATCGACTTGAAGAGAGGCATGTTGCTATTAGGACCCAATTAACGGTGTTAAAGATTTTATGAATTTATGTTCACTCTGAACCAACAACACTCTGGAAGGATGGCATACAAAAATTCAAGAAGCTAGTTGGAAAAGCCCATCCGAATGTTTTTGAAATGATCACATTTTTACAACAAGAACAAAATATTAACCATCAAGGAAGAGATATAAATATGCTCAAATCCAAAGCCAGCTCCAAGAATTAAAAGGAAGACACGAGGAAGAGGAATTGACTTTAGTCGAGTATTTAGACAGGGTGTCTTATTTGGCGAAATTAAATTAATTTTTGTTATAGTTTAGTTTTGTTTTCGTTTCTTAATCTTATGCCAAAAATGATGCTAAAATGTTGATTAATTAGTTACATTGGGGATTATGAAAGTGTAAATTCTTATCATAACAATCTATAACACGATTGTTACGATTTTAATCCATTTTAATCCCTAGGAGCTGGATTCCCACGAAGTCGTCGAAAACGACCTCGTTTAATCCGTTACGGTCAATAACTGCGCCTTCGTGGGAATAAACCGTTCACCAGACAGGCCATATTGTCAGTTATTTTCTATCTATAACAGTTTTATAAACAACAAGGGATTATAATAAATTAACATGTCATTAAAATTACGTAACATTTCACCCTTGACTATAGTCACCTTTCAATAGCAAACACACACGATGTTTTGAAGAAATAGAATAATTATTGTCCTTAGAGTTTACATGTATACAGAATTCAATTTGATGACTATTCTTTTTAAAATTAAAGTATTATCTGAAATATTCTAGATTTAAATAGAACTACTATAACCAGCACGGTTATAATATGGTCCATTTAATTAGTTGTATTTCCACTGTATTTCAGTGTCATTTGGCAGATTTAACAACCAACACGTTTCTTGTCAATAATTTCACCTGTCTTGACAAAGCCGAAATGATTCCATACTTATATCGTTTTTTTACAACCTCGAATTCCGCCATCTTTAAACAAATCAGATGGCACGACTAACCAGTTATACTTCCTGAATTATGGCCCCTGATTGTCCGATATACACCGTTAGACCGTAATGAAGGTTGAGCAAAATTGCCGGACAAAATGGCCGCCGCTTGTAGGCGAATAGTGTAGAAATATGGTATATCAAGGTTGTGGACCCTATAGAGGTCACAATTTTTTTCCGATTTTGTTGAAACCCAAAGATCTCGGTTCCTTTTGATATTAGCGCATATCGGACCGTAACGTCCTGAATTATGGCCCCTGATTGTACGAAAAATCGCTTTTTTAGTTTATGGACTCTATAGAGGTCATAATTTTTATTCGATTTGTAAAACCGTATTATTATATCACTGTTACACCCTAAGGCAGATTGAGTTCGAATTTCGTAAAAATCAGACCAAAACTGACAGACAAAATGACCGCCCCTTGTGCTCAAATAGCGTAAAATATGGTATATCAAGGTTGTGGACCCTCTAGAGGTCACAATTTTTATCCGATTGTGTTAAAACTTGAAATGTAAGTTTATATCCCAGAGATCTCGGTTGTTTTAGTTATTCGCGCATATCGGACCTTAACTTACTGAATTATGGCCCCTGATTGTTAGAAAAATCGCGTTTTTAGCTTCTGGACCCTATAGAGGTCATAATTTTTATCCGATTTAAAAAATCGTTTTAGTATATCACCGTTACACCCTAAGGACGACTGAGTCCGAATTTCGTAAACATCAGACCAAAACTGACAGACGAAATGGCCGTCCCTCGTACTCAAATAGCGTAAAAATATGGTATATCAATGTTGTGGACCCTCTAGAGGTCACAGTTTTCTTTTGATTTTGATGAAACTTGAAATGTAAGTTTATAACCCAAGGATCTTGGTTCCTTTCGATATTCGCCCATATCTGACCATAACTTCCCGAATTATGGCCCCTGATTGTACGAAAAATCGCGTTTTTAGCTTGAGGTCCCTCTAAATGTCACAATTATTATCCGATTTTAAAAAAAAAACGTTCAAATATATCAGTGTTACATCGTAATTTTGGTTGAGTTAGAATTTCGTGAAAATCGGTCCAAAACTACCCCGCATACACGATTAGCGTACACAATTGCCCCCCCCCCCCCAAAAAAAAAAAAAAAAATCCTGGGGAAAGACATCAAGATCATCAAATTTGAGTCAATAGTTATGGAATTGCGATCATTTGGAGATGTTGGCGACCATTTTTGACATAATAGGCCATAATTTCTAATGATCTTAATGTGTTCTTTGCCCCCCCCCCCCGCCAAAAACAAACAAACAAACAACCAAAACAACAACCTAGGAATATATCCCATGATCATCAAATTTGAGTTGATAGTTACATAGTTATGATCATTAAGACGTTTCGGAGGCCATCTTTGACGCCATCTTGAAAACAAACTTTTCCGGGGGTCCTACTTTGGTAAACCTTTAGTATGTTATAAAGTACACTAAACCCTACCAGAATCAGTTGAGAAACCTTTTGTAGCAATTGTTTGGGGGTTAAACTGTATTTTAACCTGACTATGAGTACACAAACCTGGACAATAGTGGTGTATAGCATTCAATAGTTATAGCTTTAATACTTTAGTAATGACTACTGCCTGATTACTAACAATTTTTAACTAACTAATAAACATTATGTATATAGCATGATGACTTTGGTCTGTTTGTGACAAATATTTTCATTTATACAATTTTTTTTGTTCATGACTTGTAATGATATCAACATTACAGTGTCTTTCAACTAGAAAATAGTCAAAATAAACAGAAAGAATCATTTAAAGATGCGAACATATTATTGGATTCAAATTACGGTGCCACTGAATAAACAAATAGTGTTTATCTGGTGCAATATTCTAATCTTATTTCACACAAAAGGTTGTTAATATTCTCAAGGAATTGACTGTAGTTACTAAAACAAACCTGTCTGATATTATAGGTAGCCCTACTAATTTATCGAATGTGTCCCGTCAAATCAGTACTGCGCTTTCTTTGTGTGTCTGTAAATTTTTGTATGCTCCGTCTCGTTTTCTATGGAAATCGCCTGTTTATTTCCTATTCGTGGTAAGCCTAACTAGTAAATGCGCTCTTCTTCTGGTTTTGGATTCTTTCTTCGTGGCTGGTAAAAATGTAGCTAAGGACGTTGACTTAAATCCGATGGCTTTGAGTTCACCTACTAGTTTATTAGTTATTACTAATAGTTTCCCTTAGTAACCTCATTTTGTTTATAACTTTCTGTAACGTTTTTAAATATGATAATGTTATACAAGTATGACTAATTGAACATACCCAGTCCAGTGCAACGAAACAACTTTAGCTCGACTACAAAAATTATCGTTTAATTTAATCAAGCTTTGTTTTCGACATTTCATTCATACTAGTAACGATGTATTATGCATGCGCGCCACTGCGAATCCCAACGGCGGGATGGTAGACGGAACTATATACTACCCTGTTTCAATGTTTAAATCGACCAAGTCTTACACCGCTATTTGGTCTATTACAGCGCCGAGACAAATCCGCTGGTGGGCGTATTTTATATTCCATGGCAAGCTAACTTTATTTCGTAAAGAGTTGGGAACATGTTTTGTATATCTTTTTACTTTTTACGAATTCAGAACTCATAAATTTACCTGTATGAGGTTTATTAGAAGAAGCGACAATACTGTGCAAGTTGAAGAGGGACCGCTTAGTGACACAAATGACCCTGACTTATGTGACGAAGAAGGGTTGGTTTTGGAAGAATGGCCGTGGATAGGTAAGTCAAATATTAGCAATGGTACATTGGATTCGAAGTTTATCAGCCACTGTACATTCGAATCCGGGGCTTAGTATTTACGTTACACATAATCTTTTCAAAGCACCTATTAGCTAGCAATTTAGTTTGGTTCGCGTCAAGTTTTTGCAACCATAAATTGTATGGAAGGGTATCGCTGCCAATATTAAATGCTCTGCGACAATGTCGTTTCTATTGATTATTATCGGTAATGATAAAGTCAAAATACCGCTAAGGCAAGAGTTACATGTAAAACGTCAAACGTTAAGTGTTAAATGACAAATGTTTTGTGGGACAAATGCTTTTTTTGACGTGTCTACATTTTACATTTCTCTCATTACATTTTACATTTGCGCTCTGCCACACACCGTTTGTCCTTCACGCTTTCTACATAGCAACTTTCGCGCAGCATCAACTTTCATATGCAAATGTATGATATCACGTGACTTATTAACATATACGGAAACACGGCACACTATAAACCAGCACAATATAAGGATACTCACCACACGATAACAGTAAATCAAGCTGGCACACCATAAGAAACTATCTAGACGACCGTGCGTAATCATGAATGTGCCGGGAAATAATTGATAAATTCAAACAGCCAAAGAAACATACTTTCAAATAACTTGAATCCCCCCACTCTTTCCGGTATCTAATAAACAGGGTTGGGTACATCCTAATTAACTTTGATCCATTAAAAAAACAACAGTATATAAGCATTGTGCCCAACAAATAAATAATATATCTAAAGATGGGTTCCCAGAAAAGTAATTATCGGGTGGTTATTTCCAATAAAAGTATGGTAATTTTGGTACATATGGAAAGTAGAGATATCCAATCTTACTAGAAAAATACTGGATTCCCTGAAAAACACTCATGGAGCGTATACAGGACAAAAATGTAAGGACTCCCCTAATCAAGGTCACACGCGAACATTGAGTGCTTGATGTACAAGTTGAAAAACTTTATGAAGAGTTAGACGTACAACACTTTCTGAGATAAAAAGACAACATCGTCTTATGTATGCAATAAATTCTCCTCTGACTTCCAAGAGAGGTAAGTCACGTGACGTAAACATGACCTGGTTTGATCGAATTTTTATAGGAGGACATTTCTTTGCAATTACAGTGTTTGAGAAGGATTTGAAGCAAAGTTATGACAAATTAATTAGTTTGAATTATGTTTTTGGTCCATATATACCATTAAATCACCCAGTTTGTACGCGGGAACCCATCTTTAAAGCGAGGAATGACTATACATTTTTAGTATGTATTTTAGAATTTTTGATTAAGCCCCGTATCTTTATTTTAGTTTAGTTTAGCGCCCCACCCTTCCTTCACTTCAACTTTAATCTTATTTTGTAAAGTGAATGTGCCAGAAAATTATTTGCATATTTGAAAAGAGCAATCAGTGATACGTAACATGGTATCTGGAATTTCGTATTTAGACCAGTATTTTTACTTAAATACCCCTTTAAAGATATATTATGGGAGATTTGATAGCGAGTTGGCAGTTCTCACTATAAGAGTTACAAACTAGATAACGTAAAGACAATTTGCTGAAAATTTCATTTAAATTGATCCACTATGAACCGAGAATTAAGCGATTGAAATTTCCGCCTAGCCTCGATCATCATTACTAAAGTGAGTACGATAAACAACATTTAATCATTAAATCGTGGAGGAAAGTTATGCAGTAAATCGGCTCATAATCCACTAAAGATCGAGAGTTGATTATGGTTTGGATAGGTTAATTAATGTCTAATTAATAATTTAGATAACATTTCAGGCCCAAAGAAAGACCTGCAATAGACAGATTAAACTCTTGCATAATATATGTTAAATAGTGTGATATTTATTGGATTTGAATTATGAAAATACGATGGTACCAGAAAACTATTTACATATTTACAAACTTAAATGAACGTGATTTTCACTAATATGTAACATGATACCTGGAATTTCGTATTTGGACATTACACAGCCCCCACCCACCCCCCGTAATCATGGTAAAGAACCATCCAAAGTGTCAAGGTAAGTAAATTTTCATTGTGTGCTACGCTGATTTCCTGTTATAGTGTCGTGAATATTCTTGTTCTGGCTTGTCGTGTACCAGGTTTCCGTATATGTTAATACGTCACGTGATATCCTACATTTGCTTATGAAAGTTGATTCTGTAGAATGCGTGAAGGACAAATGAGATGTGGCAGAGAGCAAATGTAAAATGTAATGAGAGAAATGTAAAATGTAAATGAAATGAAATGAAATGGAGTTTAACGTCCTACTTTTCTGCTCTTAACCTGGGCTAATGAAGACGGGCATACGCCATACAGTGTGCTATGAGGGAAATTTTGCCCGGACAGCGGCACTACGGCCTACTCATATCGAATTCCAACTGCCAGGAGATCTTTTACGTGCACGCCAATGTGTACACGGGACCTCGGTTTTTCGTCCCATCCGAACGACTAGACAGCTTTCCTTGTCAGCCCCTCCGTCCTGCATCACTGACAAGGGAGAACCACGCTGGAAAATCTGGATGAACTTTCTCTGCCAATGCAGGGATCGATCATCCGACCTCCAGGCTAGCGAGCTAGCGTGTTACCCACTTAGCCACGTGATCCCCATGTAAAATGTAGACACGTCAAAAAAAGCATTTTCCCACAAAATATTTGTCATTTAACGTTTTACTTATAACTCTTGCCTTAGCGGTATTTTGACTTTATCATTACCGGTATTATATAGGACTTTGTACATTGTACTTTTTACATATAATCAATGGAAAAGACATTGTAGCAGAGCATTTGATATTGGCAGCGATACCCTTCCATAAAACTGGAAATGACGTCGTTTGTACAAAAAGAAAAAGTTTTAAAACAAATTTTCTTTCCATATGAGGTCATTTATTATCCCGCGCGGAACGAAGTTAGGGAAGGATATTGAAATGGGGTCCGTCCGTCCCGATTTCGTTTCCGGGGCATATCTCATAATCTATTAAAGTCTTACACTTTGTACAGACATCAATCTATTACAGTAGTTGCGGCTTTTGCTATTTAGAAATTTCTTGGATTTATATCTTTTGTGTTTCAATGGAAACAAATTTGACTTAGTTTTCGTGTACAATTTTGTTTCCGGAGCATATCTCATAAACCATTTAAGATATCTTCATGAAACTTTGTACAAACCTAGACATATTACAGTAGTTGTGCATTTAACTAATTTGGAATTTCTCGCATTTAACAATTTTTGTGTTTTGACTTTAGAATTTCTCGGATTTAACAATTTTTGTGTTTTGACTTAGTTTTATGTATATAATTATTATTCTCAAGCATATATCGGCCCCCCCCCCCCGGGGTGTAGGGGGTGGTAAGATTATTTACTTCGTATGTCCTGCGTGTCGCACAAGGCGACAAAAGGATTCCTGTAATGGGGCAACGTGTTTGCCGTGTGTTGCGACCTGTGTCGGTGGAGAGTGGAATCCTGGAAATTGGGTGGGGATTTGGCTTCCGGGCCAACACATTACTTCGGCCCACAATTCACCTAGACAGGAGGTCAGAGTGACCCACTCTGATCAACCGGCTTTGGTCGTGTTTAGCTGACGAGTAGGTTCCCATATATCTGTAATACATTTGTCTTGCATGTAGTTCTAAATGTGCGTCCTGGGTGCCTTACTGTAAAGCAGTGGCTTGGGTCAACCGGGTAGAGTAACTGATTATATCTTTACTTTGTCTGGGTATATTTCTGCCTGTCCTCGTATGGAGATTGCAACCCTTGGAGGTTGGAGGGCAGATAGACATGGACTTTTAATAATACTCCATGGCTTCCCAAATCAAGAAGATTCGTACTTTAAAACGAACGTCGAACAAGGATTTGGAAACGAATGATTTACCAAATACAACATCCTGAACTTGGACTAGGTTTCTGGTTATACAGGGTACCGGCGTTATTAATTTAAATACAACTTCTCCTTTTCTGATTGCTAAAGTCATTGTGGGCTTAACTGGTGATCCCAAAAGCTTCAAGAAAAAAGAGAAATAGTACTCTGTTAGTGGTATGTGCTAAAGACGTGATGGCAATATTATCTTGACCTTTGATAAACCAAATCTTCCTAGGATGATCAAAGCTGGTTTTCTTGCCATTCCAGTTACCCCTTAAATCCCAAACGTGTGTAAGGGGAAAGCAATGTGTGCTCGATGTGGACAGGATGGTCACGAAAGTACATCTTGTCAGCTCGATCACCATTGCTTTAACTGTAAAGGGACTCATTTTGCATATTCCAGAGAGTGTCCGATATGAAAAAACCCAACAAAAAAACAAGTACAACAGGTGAAAACAAAGAAAATTATTTCGTACCATGAAGCATAGAAGTTTGTTGAGGCTGCAACCCCAACGTTTGCAATGTCCTTTGCAAACGCAGTCAAACCGAAGACCGCGTCCATTGCTTGCCAAACACCTGTTGTCTGGCCAGCTCAGACAGAATCCTTATCGCAAGAAAAACCACCAATACTTCCTAAACCCGTCAATAGTTCTCTTAGGCTGTTAAAAAGTCAGAGGAGTCCGAGATAGAGGAGATTGTGCCCCTAATCCTCCAGCAAAAGGTTGAAATCCTGGGGGTGATATATACCCCTCGTACGTTCCTGTAATGGGGCAACGTGTTTGCCGTGCGTTGCGACGGTGGAGAATGGAATCCTGGTAATTGGGTGGGGATTTGGCTTACGAGCAATTTCTCTGCAACACATTGCTTCGGCCCACAATTCACCTAGACGGGAGGTCAGTGTGGCCCACTCTGATCAGTTGGCTTTGGTCGTGTTTAGCTGACGAGTAGGCATATCTTTTCCATACGTCTGTAGAGTGCCTATTCTAAAGCAGCGGCTTGCGTCAACTGGATAAAGTAAATATATTAAATCTTTACTTTGTCTAGGGCGTATGCGCTGGATATCCGGTCTGCTCCCCAGTCAGTGTTTGATAAGACTCTCATCT